CGACGACCATAACGACAACAACAATGTCAGCAACAGCAACAGCAGCAGCCGCAACCACAACAGCCAGCAACAACTGAGCAACAATAGCACTAACTGGAAAAAAGGGCAGGCAGGGACGACATCGGGCAACAGCAGCACCAAAGCCACAGGTTGCAGGAGAATGAGCACAAAACGGCAACAATGAACAATGACAAAGCAACAAGCCACATCACGCTTTTGAGCAATGACCGTCACGGTCAACGTCATCATTGCCATCACCACCACGAAACGGGCAACATGTGGCCCTGCACCGGGTAACCGGCGATGTTCTTCTCGGCACGTTCGGCCCGGTCCTTCATGGATTGGACCTCAGGAGCACAGGCCATCTCGTTGCGGGATATCATATGCTGAAGCTGTATGGCACACGCGATTATGACGAAATGTATTGCTGACATTTAAGATCAGCAGAGCAGGAGGTCGCAGAACCATGGCAGAGAATCCCCATGTTTCAGACAATCCAAATGAATCATGGGCTGATCAGAGCTTCGATCTTTACGGCCTGCATCGGTGCATGTCCCAAACTTGATGATTTGGAGCCACAGTTTTGGCAGCACAATCAGTCTGAGCCATGGTTGCAGGGTGGGGTTCCGGCCCTACGCGGACCCAAACATGAGCTGTTCTGCCCGCACGTTGGGCACACGACCTTCGCATCCGCAGCATCCTGCGGGAAGGTGTGAGACCCTGGGCTTTCGATCCTTGGGCTCAAATCGTAGTTTGGGATTCGGGCGGGGGTCCTCAGCAACCAGAGGCTAAACTGCTGCACTTTGACGCATCTTTCATTACCAGCAGAATGCATGTGAGGGGGCTGCCATGCCCTTTGGCAGAAACTTACGATGAGAGTCATACGGCCATACGGCATCTGCGTTAGTAGCTGTGGCCGACATGCTTCGAAAAGCTGGTCAAGCATTTAGTTTATTGAGCAAAGAGCTGCACTTCAATCTGGCAGTGGGGGTCGGGGCGTCTTGATTCACTCACCCGTCTGCCTTCTCTTTTTGTCTGGCTCCTTCCAACCTGAGCACCGCTGTCGTTCTGTAGCACACGTGCCGTGAATCCAGACCAGTGATGCTGACATTGACCATCCCGCTGGTGCTATGCACGTGCACTGGACTTTTGCGCTTGGCAGCTAGCAGCGATCCCCAACCCCAACCAAACCTCTCCAACCCATTCAAAAGTGCGATACTGAAAACTCAAAACTTGCGCAAGCCCCTAAACAAAAAGACTAGCCTCGCGCCAACAGAATGAACATTCAGAGCCAAAAGGTTCTAATTGTTTATAGTAGTTCCAAGTAATGCTCCTCGTCGGCAAGATCATCCCAATAGCACCGAAAGGTGTTAAGAAATCCCGCGTCCCAGCAAGACAGGATCCTGGACACCAATAGCCGCCGGTCCTTCCTCACCCCATCGCCGCCAAGGCCCAAAACCCAACTGCCCTCTGAAACCAGAGGCCCCTGCAACTACACAGACAAAATACATCGGCTTGAATATGTGTGTATAGTGTGTGTATATATATATATATACATATATATATACGTAGGTATGTATGATGACTATTTATCTGCCTATTTGTTTGCACACACACACACAATGTGTGCATGTATATGTTTACGTGTGTGTTCTTGTATACTCTTAGGACGCTGGCTCTTCCAATTTCTTGGAACTCTCGGCCGCTTCGCGCTCGGCATCCTCCAGTGCTGCTGCCTGAAGGTCGCCAAAAAGTACTTAGCATGACATATCAGATACCGCAATCATAAGCCGTAAAGTTTCACAAAACTTGACAACACAACCAATACCAACGACTGCAGTGAAAGTGATGGCTCAGTTTGATCAGTTTGCGACTATCAGCGAGACTTCGCAAAGAGTTCGTCCATCAGCGACGAGAAACGAGCCTGCAACGTTAAAGGTATGAAACGGGAGTAGTAAGTAGTACTTCCCACAGACTCGACGACTCCGGACACTGGGCCATTCGTGGCAGAATGTCCAATGGTCGAGTCCAAGGCCGTCTTCTGGCTTTTCGCTCGAGACGACTTCCAGATCCTGGGAATCGTCATTCATGCGGGGCAGCGGAGATGCACAAACGGCCGCTGTATAGGGGGTCGGGCATGATCTGACTCAGCCATGGAAGTGCATCACCAACATCACAATGCCGAACCCCGGCTGCGCGTATTGCATATACATCTGCACCGGGTGCCTTCTACATCGCTAAGACAACAAGGTTCTGGTAATCTATACGATCTCTGCGGCCATCGTCGCAGCAAGGCTATCAGCATCATGACGACTATCACCGTCACGGCGAGCTACCACGATACTACTACTGTTTCTTGTGCAAGATCATACCAACAGCATGGCCACGATGATGATTATCATGATCACAGTCACGAACTCATTGCCGCTCTAAAGAGATGCAATCGGCACAGCTGCCCGAGGGCGGCGCTGGTGAAGCGACTTCACAATTGGCGTGAACTGGTTCTTCAGGGATTGATCCTTGATCTCCTTTCTGTGCATTCCAGGAGGGCTGACCAACTAGTTTATTTTTGAAGCATTGTAGAATAGAACTTTAAAATGCTGGATTCGCTTCTCAACCCTGCAAGGCATCTCCTCCCTAACGATGGTGAAGTGAGCGAGGAAAACCTCCCACATCACCGCAAAGTTTCACGAGCTCTCGTGCACCGGAGAAACAGTATAGCAATAACAAGTGAAACATAAACAATTAAGAACAACAACATTGCCTTCAATAGTGATAACAATGGGAATGGCAACAATAGCAATAGCACAATAAACATAAGTAACAAGAAGCCAGCAAATAAAAAGACATACGTGCATGGTTTTCGGGGCTCGCATAACTTCAACTCCACCCTTTCGGGGCCGAACAGCCCCAGTCCATCCAACTTAAAGGATCATGGGACTTAGTAAGTAGGGTTATAATTAGGGTAACTATACTTATAACCCCAATTAGGGGACTTTTAACCTTACTTACTAAGTCCCATGATCCTCCAAGTATCTCGACTCCCACTCCTTGGTCAAGTGCTGCACCAAGTCTGGAAGCATCCGGGCAAAGAAGTCCTTCCAAGTCCGTGATACACTGAAGGTTACGAAGTGGACATGATGCTTCAGAGTCATGCCGCAGGATGTGTACCTTCAACGTCTGAAATGTGCCGTAAAGCTACAGCAGCCATTTCTTGCGAAACTGGCGATACAGCAGCGCGTTGCTGCAGATCATGATGGTGATCGTATTGGCGAGTCTTGCGGTTTTGACACAGGACATGATACCAGCAATGGTTCTGATCATAAAGAAGTGATCATGAAGAAGAACACCTGCCAAAAACGGCACGAACGGCAATGGGAGCAACACTCAAAAAAGCTACACAATCTCTGGGATACCTTGTAAGAACAACGCTTCTTCAGGGGTCCAGTCCTCCAGGGCGCTTTCACTGCCCTCCTCCGAGCTCTTCTGAACGTTCAAGATGCGACCCCTGCGGCTTGCGCTCTAAAAAGCTGCCGCTAATCTTTGAGATCCTGAGGGCTTTGGGCATTGAGGGCCCCCCCAGGATGGTAGGAGCTCAGGTTTCAACTCCCACACATCCAGGTGAGGCTGCACCCTTTCGGGCACCCTTTAAGCGCTGCGGTCTTAGGGGCATCGGACTGCAGGGTTTAGGATCGTTTAGCACTGGTGTGCTCGCGTCAGGGCCACACATAACCCAGTAATTGTCGAATGTGACTGGCCGAATCTGTCTTCTATCTCTGTCACTCTCTTCAGCCTGGAGCCACTGTAGCCCCAAAACAAAGCAACGAACGCCAGAGCCCAGTCGGATGCCTCGACTTGGCGAAAGCGGCGCTCTGCTTCTTCATCGAGGCCTCTGAATCCTCGCAATCATGCATAAACAGCTGGTATCTTTGCATGAGGGCTTGGGGTTTCACATCTTCTCAACATGGGAAACACGGAGCACACAGATCGAGCTTACGCCATCCTACGCCATCAAGTCTTGGCACAGACAAAAGGCACAGGGGCAGCTTTCCGTGCCAGCACAGATCAGTGCTTTGTCAAGCGCGACTTCGGACAATGACAGGCTGTGCAGCACGTTACCAGGCTGCCTCACGAGGACACGGTGCACTATTCGTGCGGCCTGCCTTGTAGCCGGTCAGCTCATTTGCTAGCTCCTACGGCTTTCAAGCACCCACGTGCTGCTAAGATGCGAGCGCACGGCGGAAAGAAGTGCAACTCGCATCTCTGTCCATCCATGGTCAGGTGCATGTCTCCCAAAAGCAACTTCCCGAATGCCAACCTGGCTTTTTGCGGTCATCGCAGCCAGCTGGGCCTCGTGGAGTGAGAAGATTATGTTGGAGAGCTAACGATGGGTCTCTCAACGTCGGTGATAGCACCAAATCTGACAAAATGACTTTCAGTACGGCGTCTCGGCACTGTATCGGCTGCCGAAGTTCTCACATGAGCAGGACACAACGAGACATAGCCACCGCATGCCAAGGCCCAGGGCCTAGGGGGCTAGGGGCAGTGGTAGCGGAGTCTCTCGTGCCCAGAAGTCAGAAGCAAACTCCGATCTGAAGGCGCCTGCGTGTCGACAAGCTCTCGCTGAAGGCTGTCTCGCAGCCGTTCCTGGCAAGGTCAGTACATGCTGCAAGCTGGGTCCTGAGTCCTATTAACTATCCCGCTAGCGATTATTTACACAGGATGCTCGCGGCACGCATCTATACTTTCGGAAGACCACCTAGAAGACCACCCACGACCACTGCGGCCAGGACCACAACCCACCGGCAGACTCCAGGAGACCAGCGGGGCCACCAGGAGACCCAAGAGACCAGCAGGACCAGACCCGATACTTTCCTCAGTACTGCGGTATTCAAGAGATTCCCAGGACCAGCGCGAAACTGCTTACCCCCAGATACTAGCGCATTCTAGAGGAACACCCGGAATCCTGTCCCTCAAGTACTGATGCGTGTCAAAGTTTTGTTATGGTGGTCTCTTGGTTGTCTCTTGGTGGTCTCCTGGTGGTGTGCTGGTTGCTGCCGTCATTGCGGTCTCCTGGGTGGTCTCTATTGGGAGTCCTGGTGTCGTGAAGGTAACATTGGTGTGGTCTCGTGGTGGGGTCCTGCTAATCTCTTGGTGGTGTCCCGGTCGGAGTAGTTGCGGTGACTTCGTGGTCTCCTCGCGATCTCCTCGTGATCGCTTGGTGGTGCATGCATACATACATACATGCACATGCATACACATACATGTACATACATACACATACATATACATACATATACACACACACCCATACATATACAGACCTCCACCTACATCGACATACATAAACATAAATATACATACATACACATGCATATACATACATATACATACATAGACATACACATAGACATAAACATACCTATAGCTGTGCATGTACATGAGCATATACATACATACATACATACATACATACATACATACATACATACACATACATACATACATGCATGCATACATACATAGATATGTATATATATATATATATAATTTATCTCACTACATGCTCGTGCCTGTGCGTCTGTGTGTGTGTGTGAAAAGGTGTATGTGTGCAGATACATGCAATAAGTATTTCATGAATACTGTAAGAATGCGACATGAAATACAACACGAAAACTATATCTCTCTAAGAAGTGTGTGTATATATAGACATATTGAATATGCCAGAACGATACGTACATATATACAGACATATGCATATAGAGGGAGACAGAGAGAGACAAAGAGAGAAACTCGTACACGCGCTTTCTCTCTATTATGCATGCATGCATACATACATACATACATACATACATACATACATACGTGTGTGTTGACACGATCTATCTCTATATCATTCTCTGTCTCTATCCATCTAACTGACGAACTGACCAGCTGTCTTTCTATGTATCGATATGCACTAGGCACACCCCCTGCCTGCTGCTGCAGCTTTCCAATATAGCTGCGCTCTTTCCTTGGGTGCCAGGAACATGCGCCGGCTCTCGCTCTCTCTCTCTCTGGCATGCACGAACACTAATGCGAAAGCAGGGGCTCGAATTCTCCAATGACCCTGGTTGTAAGATCGAGGCTGTTCGTACTGCGCTGTTTCAACCTCCAAAGGCTGAGAGAGGAAATACAGCAGGGTGCAGTGCGTCGTATCAGAACGCTACACTGACTGAACTTAGCCTAAGCAACACCCAGCCACCACATTATGTTTCGTGCAGTCTTTCACAGAAGCCTCGTTGCCAAGCACCTTTCGGGTCTGGGCCAGGTTCAGACCCCCAGACACGGAGATGAAAACATCGGCGGCGAACGGCCGCACTGGCCTGCAGGCGCTCAACGAGGCTGGAGGCCTCCTCCTCTCGTGCATAGAGCTTCATCCTCACCTTGGCCACACGAAGCGCGGCTTGAGCTTCTCTTTGCCCCCTGCAGTATGAGTTGCCCTGTACCTAAAGACAGTGACGACCAGCTTGCCGGCTTGTCACTTTTGTGGCCACAGTCCTAAAAAGTGTTGATTGTTTCATCGAACATCTGCCTTCACGGCGCAATCACCCATGCAAAGACCTGACATCCACCTTCTCGGCGACATCTGACTTTCTCGTCCCCATCACTTCAAACACTCCACCCGTCACTCATCCTCTCTCCACAACCAGTGCAGAAACGAAACACAAGCGATGTTTCACTGTCAGCTGGCAGCAAGACTTGGGTTAAAGACTTAGGGTCTGCGGCTTGGAGCTGAAGGAGGCATGGCTTGCTTCACGGTGCCGGGCTTCAAGCCTCCTTGAGCTCCTTCTCATGATCTTCTAAGGCAGTGCCCTGCAAGTGAGAAGCGCACAACACATGCCTTCGTGCATGTATATATACATATGCCTATGTACACACACATGCATGCATTTATGCATGTATGTGTGTAAAGTATGTATGACATACATACGTGCATACATGCATGCATACATACATACATACCTACATACAGAACACATTCATACATGTATATGTTGTTGGCTCCCACTTGACAACGTTGTCAGACACTGCATGGCAGGTGTCACTCGTACAATGGACAACCACTCGCCTACCAAAGAAGAGCAAGTCGATTCGGAAGGTGAACCCAAGCAGTCCCTAGGACATGCTGTGTCTTCCACACAGCACTCGAGTATACAAGAGGTAGCAAGGAGCAAGGATCAAAGGACCTCGGTCGGTCATCATGTATAAATATGTACATATGTATATATA